GACCATACATAGGTTTAGCAAATGGCCGCCGGGGCCCTCGTGGCGCCGGTCGGCGTGACGTCACACCGCTGTAGCCGCTCTCTGACGCGTTTCGTGCGAAGGCACGTAGTCATAGGGGGTTAGCTTACAGCGGTGGACGTCAGTGTAGGACCTAAATAAGGAAAGTGGCGCATGCGCTGTGATCGCGCGCCATTTTCCAATCAGCAAATGTCTCCGTATCGGGTGCCATTTTCATGTAGCCCGCCGAACAGCGCATGCGCGAGCGCTGTCAGCACGGAGTTACACAGTGAATGGCATAACGATGATCACCAGGGAAAGGTGTGTTGCCCAGGAACCTATACGCGGCGCAGATCAAAGGCAGGACAGCCCCATGAATAGTCTGATCAGCGCCGTCAGTACGGAGTTACACAGTCTTATGGCATAATAATGATTTATTGCCCAAAACCTCATATGCAGCGCAAATTAAAGGCAGACAGTACTGTTATCAGTCTGGTCAGCACGTGCATAAACAATAATTTCTCTATGCCAAAAAGTCAAATTTAAAATATAAAATGTCAAATAGTCAAATTTAGATTATGCCTGGTGGTCATTGTTGGTACCACACTCTTTAATAGACTCACAGTCAATATCTCAAATATAGAAAAACATATAACATATTAATTTTAATTACAACAATCATGTAAAAAACATATAATAAAATACAATGGTTAAAAGCAGAATAAGCCTATGTTAAAATATATATAATTATAAAATTGACTTCGCTATGACCTAAAACCAAATCAGCCGCAATAAAGTCGGCCGATGATAAAAGGAGAGAGAGGGACAATAAAGTAGTGGGGGGAATAATACTGATACTAACTGTTGTCAATGAAACAGTTGATGTCCATATCTATGTTAAGTCCTTTAGGACGCATACAATCAATTTGATAAATCCATTTAGTTTCCATCTGGGAAACTGTTCTCTTTTTATTCGTTCCCCTCCAGTGGTTTTGTACTACATCGATTCCTGCAAATATCAAGGAAGATGGGTCTCTGTTATGATGTGTCCTATAATGCATTGACAACGAGTGCTCTTTGTAACCCTTTCTCACCTTGTTAACATGTTCCCGCAGTCGGTCTCTGAGTCTCCTGGTGGTACGTCCGACATATTGTTTTTTACAAGGACATTGCAAAAGATAAACGACATATCTGCTATTGCATGATATGAAGTTATTGATTTTATAAGTCCTCCCAGTACTGGTGGATGTAAAGTCATCAATCCTCCTTTTCCTGTGTCCATTACATGTGCATATAATACAATTATTACACGGGAAAAATCCAACATGTTGTTAAAAAACGTTGTTTTAATGGGCGGGTTAATGATATTAGGGGCTATTGGGTTTCTCAAAGGTTGTGCCCTCCTGAACATAATCTCCGGCTTATCCGGCAAGATCCTAGTTAAAACCGGATCCGTTTTAAGAATTTTCCAATTCTGGTTAATTATTCTCGTAATTGTTTTAAACTGAGCAGAAAATGTAGTCACAAAAGGACAAATCTTAGGAGGCTTTGCAAGTAAGGTTATCAGTTAATAATGATTCTCTGTCCATGTTTGCCACCTCTTGCATAATATGAGTGAGATGAGATTGTTCATATCCTTTTTCAATAAATCTATTTCGCAGAACAGAGGCCTGTACATGGTAAGTGTCCACTGAGGTACAGTTTCTTCTAATTCTAAGAAACTGACCCTTAGGTACATTGGAAAGCCACAACGGGTGGTGGCAACTACTAGTGGGAATGTAGCTGTTGCGATCCGTCTCCTTGAAAAAGGAAGAGGTCGCAACAGCTCCATTAGAATTTATTAATGTTAGATCTAAAAAGTTGATGCTGGTCTTACTATATTCATGAGTAAGTCTAATATTTAGCGTGTTTATTATTAAGAGTCCCAAAGAAGTTCACTAGTGCTTGTTCCTCTCCTCTCCAAAAGAGCAAAATGTCATCTATATATCGTTTATAAAAAACAAGCTCTGGCCAATCCCTGGCATAAATGACATCTTCCTCCCACCTGGCCATGAATAGGTTGGCCAGGCTGGGAGCGAATTTCGCTCCCATAGCCACACCCCTTGTCTGTAGATAAAAAATACCATAAACCAAAAATAGTTTCTGGTCATAGCGAAGTCTAAAAGGGTGAGAATAAAAGTTTGGTGTAAAACAGACATCCCAGATTCTTTCAGATAAAATTCAACCGCTTGCATGCCATGAGAGTGATTAATACTGGTATATAATGATGTAACGTCTGCCGTTACTAAAAATGTATCTTTATCCAAAGGGAGGCTCCTAATTTCTTGTAGGACCTGCTTCATGTCCCTAAGATAGGAAGGGGTGGTTCGTACCAAAGGTTGCAGAAAGTAGTCAATGTATTGTCCAGCTCTAGAACACAAGGATCCGATCCCACTTATGATGGGTCTACCAGGAGGATTTAATGGGTCCTTATGCACCTTCGGAAGGACATACATAACTGGTAGCCTAGGAGCAGAGGGACACAAAAATTCCCTCTCTTTTTTATTGATTATTCTATCTTGATACCCTTTGGTAATGATATCCTTAAGAGATTTTTTATATACATTTAAAGGGTCTTTCAACAGGACGCAATATGTCTCAGTATCACTAAGAATATTATGCACTTCTCTGGTATAATTTTCTTTATCCATTATTACCACTCTCTCCTCCCTTATCGGCAGGGTGTATGACTAAATCCTTCCGGTCAAGGAGGGAATCTATGGCTATTGAAACTTCTCGATTATTCTTGTGGTTCTTAATTTTAACAGCAGCCAAATCCTTAAGAACCGTCTCTTTAAACACATTTACATAGCTTTGAGCCTGTGGAGGGGGGTTAAACAGGGATGCATTACGTAAATTAGAATAAGTATTGGTACTGGATGTATTTCTGGTAATAGGATTCTGAGAAAAATACCTTTTTAATGATAATGACCTAATAAATCTATGCACATCGATAAATGTGTGAAACTTATCAAGCTTCTTATGAGGGGCAAATTTTAATCCCTTGTCCAATAAACTAATTTCTTGGGATGTAAGTTCCTTCCCACTAAGGTTAAAAATTCCCTTCTCTTTTACGTTTTCCTCTTTTTTGGGTTTGTTGACCCTTTTGCCTCCCCTTTGTCCTCTGTTCGAGCGCTTCTCTTGCGCATGTTCCCTTCTCCTAAAAAATGCACCGGGGCTGATTTAGAATTATCACCCTGATGTCTAGGATTATTGGATGGAGGTGGAAAATAAACATTAGTGCCACATGGTGGGTCATGTTGGTATCCCCCCTGTTGTTCATTATATACTCTAGGGCCACTTGGTGGATTATATTGATAACCCCCCTGGTATTCACCATATATTCTGGGGCCAGATGGCCTCCAGTTACCATCTCTCGATGGTGTACCATAGTAATTTGCAGGGGAGTCATAATAAACATTTCCTTTATTATTATGACCATGAGTGGGTTTCTTATTGTGATAATAAGCAGGTTTTTTAAACTGATTGTTTCTGTAACCTTGGTCCGGATACCATTCACAATTCCTAGACCCTATATTTTCATCAGGCATAGATTGTAGTGGTTCAAAACGATTAGATGTTTGTATATTATTCCGGGCCTGTGCCCTCATAGGTGATTGATACTGATTAGATTTCCTGGGATGATATTGGACGGGACCTTTCCAACCATTCTTTTTCTTGGATGGTTTTGATATATATGTGGTGACCTCCATAGGTGTGGGGGAGACTGTGACTGTTTCTTCATTGATTGTTTGCCACTTGAAAACCTTATTCTCCGCATAATCTTTATGGTCACGTATATATTTCCTACGTTTTTTGATTCGTTGTTCCTTCTCAATGTGTTCTAGAAAAGCCTTAAGCTTATCTGATTCCGATCTGTATTCATCATCTTTTCTTTAAATGGGGTGAGTTTATCCCGTATGTTATTAATTTCCCCGTCCAAATACACTAACTTCTTCCTTTTGCGTAAAATTAGGAATTTCAATAAATCCAACCCAGCAGAATTAAAATATTGAAACCATTCGGATACACTATTGACATCTCCTGTTTCCGGGGGAATATCCCATCTCAGTGAGCGGGGAACCATATGCTCTTTAACATATCTATCCAAAAAGGAAATATCCCAAAGTGTTCTGACTTCAGCTGAGGTCATGTTGCGTAACTGTATAAATAATCCCTTAATGTCATCTGTGTCCTCATTTATAGTAAACACATCATCCGATATCGTCGGTCTCATAGACCTAATCTCAAATATATCATTATGCAAAATTGCAGGATAGCAGCTCAACTTCAAAGTAGGTAATAATAAACAGTAAATCTCAGGGCAAGTGAGCGCTTAAAATAGATTATAAAATTAAAATTAATAAATAAATGAAATGAGACAATAGCAGCTGAACACCAAAAAAGGTACCGTATAAACCTTCAAAATAATCAGAATGCATAAAAAGGGGGGGGGGGGGGTGCAGCGCTAAATTAATGAATACACATTCATATAAACCAATGTTAAGGTGCTGATAAAGTGCAAAAAGGTGACTATAAATAATGAGTATAGTCCATAACGTGATCAAAACCCAAGAGAGTCTTCAAAGAACTCCAATGGCTGGATTCGTGGATGCGGTGATAAAGGTATAAAGATTGCGCACTCACCAGATACGCAATCCAAATGCGCATTCAAAACAGAAATCCTAGGGTCCTCATATGGATCTGGTCAGATCTGGTCACAAAAGCCCCTCGCCACTTGATAGTGTTGCCACACATAGATGAAAAAAGGCCGCTCTGCAGACGTAAAAGGCTCCCACCGGAGCCCAAAGAACAAAAGGAGGCCAAATAGTGTGATACCTTAATGGCAAGGGGTATTTATTCCCAAAAAATCACAATACAAGCAGGGGCAGAAAAGATACTGACCATACATAGGTTTAGCAAATGGCCGCCGCAAATTCCAAGGGTTGACTGCTGTTATTAACTCTATTAACCCCCCTGGTGGTATTCCCAAGTGTAGCTCGGGGTTAACTTTCAGTACCACAAGCGATAACCCCGCACTACACTCGGGAATACACTGCAGCGTTGCTCAGGGATCCCTCCAGCACTTACCTTTTCCTGCGCTCCCACGATGTCCTCCCTGCAGCATCCTCGGCCATATCCTCTGGCCGATGCCAGCATCCGTCTTTCGGGTTCCGTTCCGTGCGAGCGTCGGGACGTACGGGACGTACAGAGGATGGAACCGGCGGGAAATTCAAAAATTTTAAAAGTGACATTCACTCAATACACTAAAATCACATGGTAAAACATTACTGTATCAAACCATTTCACATACATTTTGTCCCTAGTGCTTTGTCCTGTGCCCTGCCTGTATTTTAACTTTCTTTCTGCCTGAAAACTGAGAAACGTCCATGGAGTCCAAAAAGCATCCCTTTAGGTCAAAAGCGGTTTTAGACCAGCTAGAGAACAGCGATAGTAAATCAGAACCACTTGCAGAATTGAGTGATAATGATTTGTGGGAAAATTCGTCATCAGACACTGAAAACGATTTTGCGACTAATCTCTGTGATGTGCGAACTTGGCGCTATATTTCAAATTTCAGTGTTTTTGGTTTGATTACATTATTGAATTAAATTTATTATTATATTATTATTTATTATATTATAATTTATGATTTCATGTTTCAAATTTTATCATATCCGGGATGTTTACTAGACTCTTGTTCGGACAGATTTCAGTGAGTTATTCCTAAGAATTACAGGCCTACAATAAAAAAATAACATATTTCCATTGCAAACAATGCACTGCTTTGAGCACAGAAATACTGACATAATCAGACCACTAAGGAGGTTAAAGCCTCATCTATAGCACTCTGTCATTTAGCTTCACTTTTTTTGCTGGTTCTCCTTCTCCTGAAGTTATGGCTAAGGCATGTGAATTGCGTTCCAATGTTCAAGAAGACTACCTCAGTGGCCAGTAAGGGAGCTCTCATTAGACATGGGTAAGACAATTGGTGGAGCTTAGCCATCAAATCAGACCATGGCAATGAAGAAAAACCATCAGAGAGGGCTACAAGTTTTTTGTTCTGGCTAATAAAATGAATGGAATTCATTCTGAAGTATCTGCGTTTAGGTGGAACCTTTGCTCCTAGTATGTTAAAGTGTATTTTATTTTACTACTTACTACAAACAAGAAGTCATGCCTAGTGTGTAAATTAGGTCCAATATGTTGGCAAGCACACAAAGGCCAAAATTCCTTGCTCACAGCTTGAAGAGCATAAAATGTCACAAAATGCAGTGATAACCCAGCAATATCATTTTTATTTTCAACCACATAACAATGTGCAAAGACAGTAAACCATAATAAAGTATAAAATGTCATACTTCACTGTTCTGTTTTGTCTAAAAAAAATTGTTAAAATAAAGTTCATTAGGCTGTATAACTGTACAATAAATAACAAAAATAATTTTTGGATAAAACAAGCTATGTATGGGTATGTATGTATGTATGGGTTGCAAAGTGTAATGGAATGAGCCTATTTTGTTGTGTTCTGTGTATGTTACAAATCTTACTTAACTCATTCTTGTGTTTTGTTTAGGCTCTAGAAGATATGTCACTCTTCCTTGGCTCTTCTGTGTTCTTTGCCATAAAGAATGCTGTATTGGCTGCTCGACAACACATTGGCCTACCAGGAACTATTTTACTACCCATCCCTGCCAGGCCTCAACATATTCGGATGGCTTGCGGCAATCACCTTATAGAACCTGTTATAGAACCTGAACAGACGTCAAGCACACAGGAGCCAACTGCTGAAACCTGATGCACAAAATGAATTAACTGGGGTAGCAATTAGCATTGAAGAGCTCATTAAGAGACACTTACAAATCAACAGACCTAAAGGTGCTGTAGCTGATGGAAATATTTATGAGAAAATACAGAAAGGGTGGGGATTCGGAGATTAACCTTTTAACGGACGTGGAAAAAGCTAATACTGGCTAATTCTGTAAGAAACCCAAGAAGGGATGTTATTTTTGGTAGTAATATTCCTAACACACATATATTATGCTGAAATCAGCAAGGGCAATTGACATCTGTAAAAAAAAAAAAAAGGCTTTCTAAATTTAAGTGGGGGGATTTTAGTAGCTCAGTCAAGCTACTAAAATTGCTGTCAATTAATCACTAAGAGTAGCTACCGTTCATTACACAGATGGATCAAATTGCTCACGGCAGTAGGAGCTTTTTGGTATCACTAAATACCAGGGGACTTTAAAGGTGTCACACATACAAAATAATGTGTTTAATAAAATTATTAGTTTATTTGATATATTAATAAAAATATGAAAACAATAATGTTCCCAAAAGTGTGTTATTATAACATAAAGAAGAGTAACATGGTAAGACATTCACTTATATTCTACCCTTAACAATTCCTCTGTACAGCTATTATATTCTGAGAAAAGGAGATGATCCTTACAGAATATGTTGATGGGCAGGATATAGAAGGAGGGTGGTAGATTCTTTCCTAAAATAAATCTGCTTCTTCAGAAATATGGGGCACTACCATGCCTAAGCCAGTTACATTCCATGGCAGACTGTAGGGGGTTGAAATCAGGCAGCTTGTAACCAAACAGCCCCCACACCAGGAGAAGACTACTCTTAGCGATTCATTGCTAACAATTTTAGTAGCGTGATTGAGCCAAACAAATTGGAAGTTGTCTAATCAAAAGGAAGTTGTCTAATCAAAATAGCCAATTAAGAGCGTAACCAAAGCTGTACTACAGATACTGTAATATTTATTTTTTTGTCTCTTGCTGAGGCTTGAATAGAAATGCACCTCAAAAAAGGAACTGAGCAGGAAGTCTGCTACACACAGGGATTATCAATCTCATTTCTGAATTCTTTCTATAAGATATATGTACATAATACAATATAAATGCTTATTTTGCATGCTGTAGCTGTACTGGTCCCTTAACCCTTTTCCTACTGCCACTGTATATCATATGCTAGAGTAGTAGGAGGATGTAAACAAACTCACAGCAGCTGAAGCAGCCCTAAGCTTTTGTTTACATTTTTTCTACAGATTCTGCATTGTCTTATAGATATGATCTGGTTGGCTGTGATGTCACATGATCACTTACATAGCCCTGTTCATGGCACATCCCCACACAGGGTTACCTTCCTATATGAGTTGCTGGGACCCCAAAAGCACTGTTAGGATAACGGAGATTGAGAACATCTGTATTCCAATCTCCCCTATGAGCAATAAACCCAGATGTTTTGAGTTCTAGACACTTATGTGCTCAGAACTGTCATACCCGGCTAGCAAGGGAGGTAAATAAAAGATCTGGCACTTTTTGTATGTTGAAAATTTGTAATACAGATTGGGTCCCCCTGGCCATGCTGAAGTAAAAGGAATTATTTCTATTGCTGTCATTTATAGTTGACTCAAAACTGATGAGTTGTAAAGGTTATTAAAGCCTTGCCTATTGGCAATTTTGGGTATTGTGTTTTTTGCACTTTCATGGGGGCATACAAGTCTTTAAATCTTAACATATTTAGTATCTGTTTAATGGACATGGTTAATATCTTATATGTTAACAGAACAGTTGGAGTTAATATTGTGTTTGTACATTTTAATGACTATAAATATGACAAACATTTACACAAATATTGTGCAACTTTGCAACTACCATCATTTTATTCTATGGGACAGTTTTATGTCAAAAATGCATATTTTATCATGTACTGTATGTGGTAAACAAGCAAAAGTTTCAGAAGTGAAAGGGTTAACGCAAACCTCTCCTGGAGAAGAATAAAGGGGCTGTTGTTCCAGGCCATCTACTTTCTGAATCATATTTTGGGTTAGCAATTACAAGTATTGAAGCCAGAAGGTTAGCACGAAAGAAAACTGGTATATACAAAATAAGAAGATGGCAGGGCGGCCTCCATGATTCTCTCAGGAAAGCTTTCCATTAAGTGGAGAAGTGCTATTAGACTTTCCAAAAGAGATCTTGTAAAAATACTATCTGAAGTTTCTTGCATAGGGAAAGCTAATATACTTACACTCATCCATGTCTCCTTCCTTCCCTCCATCCCAACGCTTCATCTTCTAAGAAGCTTAGGCTTTGAACACTTCTGGGAGTGCTGAATGGTATCCCTTGCCGCTTGCAGGGCCTCAATCCTCTGACCTCCATCCTCTCTTCTGTTGGAGAGAACTTTAGAAACTGACAGGGTCTCTTTACATGATACAATGTTAATAGTGCAAAACTGTGAGCAATCAATGAGATGTTGCTGCTCTTTCATTATTATACAAATACCGTGAAAGATTGTTTACTGGTTGCAATGGGTTACTGCACTTTGCACCTTGTCCTGTGAATTTTTATCATGAAACATTTTTAAACAGAAGATGATTTATGGTAAGTGGGTTTTTTTTCCTATAGATTATTGCTCTTCTTTGCACTATAACCATTTTTTAACAACATATTGCCAGTTTTTTGCTTTTTAGATTATTTTCAAAATGTATGTATACTGTATAAATATTGTTTAAAACATTCTATCTGTACCAACTAACAATCTCATCTGTGATTTTCTTTTCCTTAATACTGACTTTCCACGGCATACTGTGTATTTTTCAGTATTTTACAGTATTACATAAAATGTAAAAATAAATTATTTGAATAAAGACTGCTATGAAAATGTATTGGTATTTTCTGGTACAGAGGCTGTTTCACCTGCTCCCCTGTAGGAGCCATAATCGTAGAGTTGTGAACATATAAAATGTGCACTTGACTTTCTTCCTGTCTAGATAAGTGTTTGTGAAGGTTCTCATTTGTCAAGGTTATGGTATAGCTAGTAGTCTTTATTCACATTCAACTAGATTTGTTTTGTAAAAACCATTTTCTCAGTTTAATAAGGGTTGGGAAAATACCCCAGCTTTATCCACACAGGTAGCACAGACATCTTAATCCAGTCACAATGGAATGTGTCAAGAGAGATGTTGATTATCCAAGAACAGGATGGGAGGTTCTTGGCTGTAGATGAGTGTGTACAAAAAGTGTCTTAAATATAAAAGTAAACTAAGCAAGTCTTTGTGTATGAAAGTGACAAAATTATGTAAAATCGAGAGATTCCCATTAAGATTTTTAACCATTTGAGTCCCAGCTGCAATTTTTAAATGGCACTGAAATAACAGTTGTTTGTCTCCAGTGCCATTTTAAAACAGGGATTAGATTAGCACCTGGGACTTCGATCATTGTATAGACTGCTCTAGAGAAGCACGCTGTAGATACGAATGATAACACTTTTGTGTTGTATTTACATCAGGAGTGTGGTGATGT